AGATATCTAATTTAAATTTATTGAGTTTAATTTTAAATTGAATTTAATTTTAGAGGGTAGATTTGGAAGAGGTTAGACAAATACATATAAGCTCTCGTGACTTTGCTTTAGGCTTCCCTAAAAGACCTCATTCCAATGAAGTTAATATTCCCACTTATAAATTTATTCAATATATTTACTCTATTTTTTAATATGAAAATTGAGGGGCTAAACTTATGGATTGGTTTAGTTTTTCTTTTTATTTCTTAAAATTATATTTATCTAATTTGTGTATTTTTGATGGGCCATCCGAATAATTATGATATTTATGATCGAAAAGGAGATGAAATAATTTACAAATTTTAATTAAATCAGAATGGAAATAATATTATTTTTAAGCATCGAAATTGAAAAATATAATGATCCCAAAAACAAAAACGTAGCTAGTACGCATGAGCCTGCATGGGCACGCTGCTCAAATGGCCAAACGCGCGTGTTCCCATTTTAGAAAATTGGGCCTCCCATAAACGACGCCGTTTAGGACCATTCCGTGACATGTAATTAAAGCATCAAATTTTGCACCAGTTTTTACGGCTTCTATACATCTTGAATTTATTAATATTCCATTTCATATAAATTTATTAAAAAAAATAGAGAGATTTGAAATGGGTGACATAGAGAACATATAGGGAACCGAGAAAGAGAAAAACTTTACAGAATTAGAAGAGTTAACAGAGACTAGTATGAAATGTTAGGAATCACGTCTGATAATGTCTAAGCTCTCATGCTTTGCTTTGGGTTTCACTAAAAGATCTCATACCAGTATGAAGATACTATTTCCACTTACAAACGGATGATCTTCCAGTGAATTAACCAACCAAACCAAGGTGGACTCACTCTTCTCGATGTTAAAATGATTTTGACATAAAAAAAAGGAAAGGTTTGAGTGTTTGTAATGGAGACTGGAAACAAAACTCCCTTTATATGTCGGTCTTTTTGATAATTTAATAAGGAAAATGGAAAGAATTGGGCATGATTTCATCACTACCAAGAGCATATAAAAATAGGAGAGTCACATGGGCAAAACTTTAAGAAACCCCCCTCCCCCGCCCCGCCCCGCCCCGCCCCCCATCTTGTTGCCTGCCTTTAGTTTATTAATCAGCCGCGTGCCTTGGAAGCTCAAGCGCTGGTACCACTAGCAGTAGCAGTCGCAGTAGCAGAGAGCTTTGAAAATGGCGTTTTTAGAATGGTCAATTTCGTGTTGCGTTATTTGTCAAGATGCCCATTACCTTCCCTGCGCTCAAAGCTAAGAACCTAATGGCTGTTTTTATTTGAGAACAAGACCAGGCCAATGCAAACACCACCAACGACCATAGACACAGACAAAGACAAAGAGATAAAGACAAAGACAAAGACAGAGACAGAGACAAAGAGTTCTCTCAGACATGGATTCTTCTAATGCCTTCCACCGTCTTCTTCCTCTTCTTGTTTTTTTCCTACTTGCCCTTTCTTTCTCTTCCCCTGTTTACTCGCTTCACAGAGACGACAAAAGAATCCATCCCAATAATCAAACGACGACGTTCCATCCCCAGGATCAGCTCAAGAAACTCAAGCTGATTCGAGCTCATCTCAAGAAAATCAACAAGCCCGCCGTCAAGACCATTCAGGTATTCATTACTTTTTTGTTTTATTACTTCCTCTATTTTTGTACTCTGTTTTTTGAAGTGGGTTTTTTGTGCAGAGTCCAGATGGCGACCTTATTGATTGTGTTATATCTCATCAACAGCCAGCTTTTGATCATCCATTACTCAAAGGACAGAAGCCATTGGTAACCCAAAGAATCCGAGGCTTAATCTAATTGGTTTGTTTCTTTCTTGTTTTTTAATGTTTGGGTTTTTAGGATGTCCTGGAGAGACCGTACGACCAGAGTTCTTCCAGCGAGGCAGAGTCTGAATCGTTCCAATTATGGAGCATGTCCGGCGAATCATGCCCGGAGGGAACAGTTCCAATCAGAAGAACGACGGAAAAGGATATGCTGAGAGCCAGCTCCGTTCGAAGATTTGGAAGAAAACCAAGAAGACGCATTAGAAGAGACTCTTCCACCATAGGCCATGAGGTAAACTCTTGTCCCTTGTAAGCCAAGAATTCAACAAATTAGGCGAAACCCAGATGGCAATTTTGGTTAATCTTGTTGGTTGTGATGTTTGTTTGGTGACAGCATGCAGTGGGATTTGTAAGCGGACAAGAGTACTACGGCGCAAAAGCGAGTATCAACGTATGGGCGCCGCGAGTGACGAACCAGTACGAGTTCAGTTTGTCACAGATGTGGGTGATTTCTGGTTCTTTTGGAGATGATCTGAACACCATTGAAGCTGGGTGGCAGGTAAGTTGTTAAATGATTCATAATAATTAATAAGAATTCAATAAAGGGTTTGTGTTGGGAATTGAATTATATTGGTTGGGCGGAGAATTGTTGCAATGGGGACAACTGACAATTCATTCATTATTTATTCGTATCATTATCAAACTCATTATTATGTTCATCAATGAAAAATTCTCAATTGTGAAAGCCACCACGCCTTGACACTCCTAACTTAATACCCACATACATTAAATTACTTGCTGCCAGCCCTTTTCTTTTATTCTTTTCCATTTACACCTTCAAATAATTCAACCACTCCTCTTTCTATCCCTTCTTTATATGATTTTGCTTTTGATTTCTGAAAACGCCTTGTCTTAATGATCATTTCCTTAATTAATCTACGTGTGAATCCCTCCCAACTATACTCCCCTTGAACAAAGTAAATTATAAAGCTTTTCCTAGGTCTATGAACCTTCAATGAGTCATCGACTCCTTTCTCTGGAGCCCTCAAATAAAGTATACATCTTGTTCAACACTTAAGTCATCTTGTCTTGGCTACATTTTCTAAGGACCAAAATATTTTCAACTTTTGAGTATAAATTTTAAAAATTTTAAATTTATGTGTAAAAGGAATATTTTCTCCTTTAAATTAAAATTATTTGACTTTGAAGATTTATTTTTTTTATTGAATTGAAAGTATCTGAAATTTGCTTCATTATGAGTTAGGGTTTAAAGTAAGCAATGAAGGTTGACTTGGGTTAGTGGGCAGAAACTCATGGTTATTATTAATTAAAAGTCAATTTTTTAAACATTTTGTTGTAACCCATTTCAGTTTAAAATAGTAATAGTATTGTTTTTTTAGGAAATAATCGAAATAATTATAATGAATTCAACTATTTTAAAGATTTGTAGTTCTTTATTATTTAACCCATTCACACGTTTATGTTCATGAACAGGTTAGCCCAGAGCTGTATGGAGATAATTATCCAAGATTTTTTACTTATTGGACAGTAAGTATAGATTATTAACACAATCTGATCATTTTTTCTAAGCTTATTTGAGAAACTGGAATGATAATAACTTGGATTAACAGTCGGATGCTTATCAAGCAACTGGATGCTACAATTTACTCTGCTCTGGCTTCGTTCAAACCAACAGCAGAATCGCCATTGGAGCTGCAATTTCTCCAACATCTTCCTACAATGGTGGCCAATTCGATATTAGTTTACTGGTTTGGAAGGATCCGAAGCATGGGAATTGGTGGTTGGAATTCGGGTCAGGTGTGTTAGTCGGGTACTGGCCGGCGTTTTTATTCACTCACCTGCGAAGCCATGCAACGATGATACAATTTGGTGGTGAGGTGGTGAATTCAAAGACTTCGGGGTTTCATACGGCGACGCAAATGGGGAGTGGCCATTTTGCGGGCGAAGGGTTTGGAAAAGCTTCGTATTTTCGTAACCTGCAAGTGGTGGATTGGGACAATAGCTTGATTCCATTGTCGAATTTAAAGGTTTTGGCAGATCATCCAAACTGCTATAATATTCAAGGTGGGATTAATAGAGTTTGGGGAAATTACTTTTACTATGGTGGGCCGGGAAGAAATGTGAGGTGCCCTTGATGGCCCCTCTCCTCTCTCTGCCTTGTAACTTCTTTGTGGGTTTTTTTTCAGTGAAAAGTGTGAGATATTCATGTATTTGTTCTCTATTTTATTTCATTTTTTGGTCCCCTTCCAATTCCAATCACTAAAATGTGAGACTAGAGGGGATGATTATTGTAAATTTTGACCAAAGAAATACTGAATTATACTAAGATTGTGGAATTCTTCATTTTTGTTTGTACAACAACCCAATCCTACCTACCTATTGTTCGGTTCGCGCTTTGATCTGTTATGCATCTCATTTACGATTTTAAAACGCATACGTTGGTGTTAGGAAAAACTTTGTTTCCCTCTCCAATTGTTGTGAGATTTCACAATCCACCCCCTTGGGGTCCAGTGTCCCCACTGACACGCTGCCTAGTGTCTAGCTTTAATTCCATTTGTAATAGTAAAAAATCCACCGCTACCAAATATTGTCTGCTTTGGCTCGTTACGTATTATCGTTAGCCTCATGGTTATAAAACGCGTCTATTAGGAAGAGGTTTCCACACCCTTATAAAATGTTTCGTTCCTTCTACCTTGGGGGTTAGCGTTCTCGTTCTCCTCTCCAATGAACATGGGATCCTATATTAGTTGAAGAGGGATCATGACACTGACTCACAAGGAGGGTAAATTGTGAGGTTCCGCATTAGTTGGAGAGCAGAACGAAGTATTTTATAAAGGTATGGAAACCTCTCCTTAACAGATGCATTTTAAAACGTAACGAGCTAAAACAAACGTTATCTATTAGGGGTGAACTTGGACTTGAACTAAGTAATTAAGATTCATGCACATCTTGTAACCTATGCTTTAAAGCTTGATTCCAGTCAATGTGGAGCTATGAAATGGAACGAACAGGATTGAGATTCCCATTTGGCATGAATTTTCGCATGGTAAGGAAGAAGCTAATTAGTTGCCATATCTTGAAGGTTCAACTGGCTCATCATATGCAGGGAGATCAAGGGATTTGCTCTGCTTTTTTCTAGTCCGTTCATAGGCCAAAGATGAGCAACAAGATCGGTTGAGGTGGGCGTTTAGATGTTACTATCAAGATCAAACTTGCGTAGAGAGAATCATACTAGAAGGAGAAACCATAACAATCCATGCTCATACAACTGCACACCAGAAAGCTTGATAAAGTCCCAATATGTATGGCTTGAATTTGAAGGCTTCATCACTTACCGTCTTGTTCATAACAATCCATTTTTGCTGATACAACCGCACACCTTGGCTACTGAATCAATGTGTATGGCTTGTTCACTTACCGTCCTGTTCATGCCCCTTTTTGGCCATAGTTTCTGAAAGCAAAACCACAGTTTCGTTTACAGAACAATCGTTTTACACAAGCAATATAAACAACAAAGAGCAATATTATCCGGCTCTTATTGTTCCTATGGTTGAAATCATCGAACAATAAGAATTCGAACTCGTGAAACAGTACCTAAAATCGAATTCCTGTCCAATCTAATCTTGCAAAGCTAAGACATCTAGAACGAATGACGAAACAACATTGATTCAAATACTTCGCATTAATCATCAATTCTACAGAGTTTCAAGACTTCGGTTAGACGAACCTTGAAAGCAGGATTGTACAGCTTCCTATCGCGAAGCTTTTTGAGAGTTGCCGAATGTTCTTCTTTGAGCAACCATTTTGTGAGGAGCTTTTTGTACTGTGCTTCCTCCACATACTTCTTCAGCGACCTCTTCGCCACATTCTTGGAGCGGTGAACTGCCGTAACGCCATTTTCCGGCACTTCTCACGGCCAGAGAAGAAATGGTTTCAAAACCCTAACCTCCGATCAGCGAGGGGGAGGGAAAACAGTGGGTCTCACGAGCAAACGATTATGGGCTCCTGGTTTGGGCCGAATAGTTTGGGCCTAACCATACAACAATGAGAGGACTAAAATTGGACCGACATCTAAAGCCCATTGGGCTATTATTTCTTTTTATAACAAATAGTAGAATTTAATTTTATTATTATACAGATGATGACTATTTTTATACTAATAATTAATAATGATAATAAATTATATGAATAAATAAATAAATAAAATTTCAGCGATAATGTATTTTGATTACAATAAAAATCAATTCCATTTCGAAATTTTATTATTAAAATAGAAAAAAAAAAATATATGATTATAAAAAAGGAAAGGCTTCCGTGCTTGAAATAAGTGAATCAAACACTTCAATTCTGTAAAAGGGCAAAAAATGTCATAAATATGGGTCGGGTCATCCAAATCACACCAGCAGATTCTTTTTCTTTTCCCCAATTTAGGGGTCTTTTCAAATTATACCAACAGAATAAAATAAAATTAATAATAAATGGGTAAGGCAAGGAATTTTTTATTTTATTTTATTTATTATTTTTTTTTAATGGAGCAAAAGTACATATTCATGGGGAAATTCGAAACTTGGGAGGAATTAATTTGGAATTATTTTTTAGAAAGAAAAATACTTTTAACCAAAATTACTTTTCTACCCCTCAACTTTTAGGAAAGGGTGTTTTATTATAAATTATTGGTTAAAATATTAATTTAGTCATTTTCATCCCTAAACTTTTAAAATTACAAATTTATTTCACTAATTTAAATAAAAATTATAATTTTCAAACTAAAATTTAAAAAAATAAAATTCAAATTATATATGACATTAATTAATTTTTAAAATTTAGAAATCTATGGATTAAATGAAAATTAAACTAAAAAATCATAGCTAATAATATTATTTTTAAAAATTTATAGACCCAAACTCAAACTCAAAATCCAACAAACAGTACAATCACGGTAATCATCTAGAGAGACTCAAAGTAGCACCATAAACACAAAAGTTACAATTTTTTTCATTCGTTCTCAAATTTTAAACGTACATTTCATCGTTATATTCAATATATTTTTTATGATATAAAGAAGTAACAAACAATAAAAAAAGAAGCAAAAATGAAGTAAGCTAGTTTGGCAGCCAAATTAGTGGCCGTAGGATTAGTTGAGCTGCTTTTGGAGGGTCACATCTACCATTGGAGATGGATGGTCCGCTTACCTTCTACCACCGCTCCCAAACCTAAAGTCAAACTAAGCTTAATATCCTCAACTCAGGGCCCTTTTGAATACAGATGTTAATACTTAATGCATGTGGTTTATAGATATTGTCTGGTTCGATTTGTTATGTATAATCATAAATCTCATAATTTTTAAAATGTGTTTACTGAAGAGAAATTTCATACCTTTATATGAGATGTGACGGAGTAATAAACTAGGATGAACTCGACCCAAAACGGAAAAACCAAACTTGTGGGAGTGGAAATCTAAGAGACGTGGCGGCAATCCCATTGAATCATATGGTGTCGCTTAGCTTTTATTTAATTACCCATTTTGAATAAACACAAAAATCCAACTGAAATCTGTATCCATCATGCAAGCCATGCAATGCAACATACAACTCACGTGTCGTAGCACGTGCTCAAACCCATCCATCGCCTGACTTCCTCCTCTTCCTCTATATTACTACTTCGCCTAATTCTAAACAACCACCGTCTGTGGCGGCGATAATCTACTCACAAAAATGATCGCTGCTTCATGGGTTGCTCTAATTTTCCTCTTATGTGAACTGTTTTTGAGTTCTGTGGTTCATTCCGTTTATGGTTTGTATATTTTTACCTCCGCCGTAGTCGGGGATGTTTCAGAAGCTCTTAATTTCAGCTTGAGAAACTTCAAATTGGTCAATTTTGAGCCAAAAACAGTGCCACCGTCGAGCAATTTTGAGCAGCATCTTCCTCCAATCGTCTTGGTCCATGGAATCTTTGGGTTTGGAAAAGGGGTCTGTAATTTATGGCAAAGGATCACTTTCGATTTCTGCCTCCATTTCTTGAGCTGACTCATTTCCTTTTCAGAGATTGGGAAGCTTATCGTATTTTGCCGGAGCTGAGAACAAAGACGAACGGGTTCTAGTCCCTGATTTGGGATCCTTAACCAGCATTTACGACAGGTCTTTCAAAGATTTTGCGGTGTTCTTCAATTTTTGGGTATTGATTTAGTTTAATTTGGTTTCAGGGCTCGTGAATTGTTCTTCTATTTGAAAGGTGGGCTTGTCGATTACGGTGAAGAACACAGCAGAGTTTGTGGGCACTCACGATTCGGCCGGCTGTATGAACAAGGTCGATTGGGAATAAAATTTTAATAAACAAAGTGGGAAACTTATGAATTTATTTTAAAAATGGGATAATTTTCCCCTGTTTTTTTTTTTATTGAGAAATGCAGGGCAGTACCCTGAATGGGACGAGGATCATCCTATTCACTTCGTGGGGCATTCCGCCGGAGCTCAGGTTGCTCGTCTGCTCCAACAGATGCTCGCCGACAAGGTTGCTGAAAACACGACATTTAACGTTGTTCTGTCGATGATGATGATGATGTTTTATGGGTTTGATAAAATTCCAACACATTTGCTTGTTCTTCTGTTTCTTTCAATTTGGCTGCAGGCATTCGAGGGCCACCGGAACACTTCGGAGAATTGGGTTTTGAGCATAACGGCCTTATCTGGGGCGTTCAATGGAACTACAAGAACTTATTTGGATGGAATGCAGTGAGTTTCTCTCTAGATGATGACGTTGTTCTGCCTCATTTTGTTAATGTTTTGGTCACAAAATGTAGTAACCCTTTCTAATTGGGACCTCCAATTGTGTAGGGGTGACATAGAACAAAAATTTGGATCATGCTCGTTATAAGTCACTACCACAACTTTTAAGGTCCCAATATCCATATGAAATTTTAAATGAATTCTGTAACCGTCCAAGCTCACCACTAATAGATATTGTCAGCTTTAGCTCATTGTGTATTCCTGTCAGCCTCACAATTTTAAAATACGTCTACTAGAGAGAGGTTTCCACACGAATATTTGTTCTCCTCTCCAACCAACGTGAGACTTCACAATCCACCCGTTGGGCCCAACGTCTTCACTAGCACACTACCCAGTGTCTAGCTTTGATAACATTTATAACATCCTAAGCCCACCCCTTTGAGGACCTAGTGTCCTTGCTCTGATACCATTTGTAATAGAGTCAGACACGGGTGGTGTGCGTCTAGCTTTGATATCATTTGTAACATCCCAAGCTCACCCCTTTGAGAGGACCAGTGTCTTTGCTCTGATACCATTTGTAACAGAGCTAGACAGGGGATGGTGTGCTAGCAAGAACGCTGGCCCTCGAGATGGGTTGTAAGGTCTCACATCGGTTAAAGAGGGGAACGAAGCCTTCCTTAGAGGTGGAAACCTCTCTCTAATAAACGCGTTTTAAAACTATGAGATTGACAGCCATGAGTAACGAGTTAAAGCGAATAATATCTGTTAATGGTGAGCTTAAATAGTTCATGGTTTTGAATTTCATTTTGAATGAGATTGAAATGTTTTTAAGTGAAAAAAAAAGTGCTTTTTTTTTTTTTAAGCCCTTAAAAAGTGTCCAAACAAAGACTTAGGGCTATTAACTTGAAGTAGTTTAAGTTGGATAATGTGTCTTGATGAGCTTTTGGTATCAACTTGGTTTGTTTTCAGACCAGAAGATGGGGACACCATGAAACCTATAAGTCTGCTACAGCTGTGTCGAGTTGGGGTTATAGCTTACGACTGGTTGGACATAGGGTGGTTGAAAAAGTATTACAACTTCGGATTCGATCACTTCAACATGTCGTGGAAGAAGAAGGGTGTTTTGGGTCTGATGAAATGTGCGTTGGGAAAAGAAGGTCCGTTTGCTTATGGAGATTGGATTCTGCCTGATCTTACAATCCAAGGATCGATGCGATTAAACAGCCGCCTGCAGACCTTCAATACCACATACTATTTCAGCTACGCTACGAAGGCGCCTGCAAGAAGGATCTTTGGAATCCACCCCCTGCTTTCAATCAGAGCTTTGCAAATGAGCCGGTGGCGCTTTCCGTCTGACCTCTCGCCGCCGTATAAAGGCTATCGGTGAGTGTTGCCCATGTCATTTTTGTAAGTGGCCCAATCTCTTCTGATGGAATTTCTATTCGTGTTCTGGGAAGGGTAATACAAGTGCGTGGTGGTGGGTGTGCAGGGATGAGGATTGGCACGACAATGATGGAGCTTTAAACACAATATCTATGACTCACCCACGTTTTCCAATTGAACATCCAACCCATTTTGTTCATAATCGATCTCAATCTCAGTCTTGGGAACCTGGCATCTGGTTTGTCTACTACTCTTTATAAGCATTCTTTTAGAACTTAGAATGATATGGCGATCCAAATTTAATTTATGCTGTAGGTCACTGCCTTATCGTTTCCAATAGCTTTTTCTTTTCTATAGAATCCTTGATTATCTTTTTCAATTCTGGGAACATTTGGATTTAGGTACTACAAGATTGTAGAGGCAGATCACATATCATTCATCATTAATCGAGAGCGAGCAGGAGCTCAATTCGATCTGATATACAACGAGATTTTTGAGCGTTGTAGAAAACATGTACTTAGAAGAAAACAACCGATCCTGCCAAACCAAGAACACTGAAATGCAATCGTAAAAGAAAATCAACACAATTTTTTACTTTCTTGGATTTATGTTGGTCTTAAGTTCTACATTTATTTTCCTAATGATATTCTTTTACGCTTATAGTTTTCGACATGAGTTAATAACAATCAGTGAAGAAAGCCGATAAAAATAAATAAATTTAACAGTGAGCATTTGAAATAAGAATGGTTATAACATGAAACAAAGAAAAAAAAGAGCTAGTTGAAAGAAAATAAAGAAAAAAGAGACCACTTTCTCAGTTACTATATGGACTTACAAAAGCTGCAA